AGTAGCCGAAGCAGAGCCTATGGAGGAGGAACAGGTAGACCTGCTGGAGAACAATACTGCTGTGCAGGATCGAGGCTTTCTTGGGGCAGTTGAGACTTTGCAGGATGAAGATTTCCAGGAGGGAAATGAGGAGACCCCAGTGGTGCAGTGGGTTAAACCCCTGTGCCGGCAGGACTGAAGACCGACAGGTCGCAGGTTCGAATCCGGGGAGAGGCAGATGAGCTCCCTCTATCAGCTCCAGCTCCTCATGTGGGGACATGAGAGAAGCCTCCCACAAGGATGATAAAAACACCAAATCATCCAGGCGTCCCATGGGCAACGTCCTTGCAGACGGCCAATTCTCTCACACCAGAAACAACTTGCAGTTTCTCAAGTTGCTCCTGACATGACAAAAAAAAAAACTAGGGCCCTCAGTAAAACAACAGCATAACAAATACAACAATAAAACTCATAAAGCAAACCAAAAAACACTAAAGCAATAACAGTAAAACATCAAAAACCATACATCACGACACATTTAAAACTAGGGCCGGGCCAAATGCAATTATTGTGTGGATGTCTTCAGCCCGCACTTTGGAGTTTCAGGCTTACATTACACTCCATAGTGTGTTGGTGAGCTGTGTTTTGATCTTGGACTGAATACTTGGATATGTTTCAGCAGAACCCAAAGTTGGAGGGAAACAGTTAAGTGAGATGGTTCAGCCAGAACTAATTATGGCTGCCTAAAAGGAATGAGGTGGTTGTAAGTTTGGCTTAAATTAAATGGAATGGCTTCCTACCACATGTAGATCACTGATCTTTGATAATATTCCAACAGATATATTTTAAATCTCCCTCCTGTTATCATTTGACTGTAACCCTTGAGCCCTACATTGCTTACATTCTTGGTATGTTTTTAAAAGTGAAACAAATCTAACACACACAGAAAAATGGCTAATGCTGAAATTTGTAAAATGTTTCCTACAATGAGTCATGGACCTGACAGCTATTGAATGATTCTGTACAAATGAAAGATTGCACAAAGGCCAGTGAAGTGCGTGCTAGTTTAATGTCATCCCAGATCTAATGCTCTCGAGAAATCGTTGAGCAATAGTGAGTCTCAGCTTGCCAAAAGGCTGTCATCCTGGCAAGTGCCCAATATGGAGTTAAGAATGTAGTCATCATGAGGAATTCACAAACAGTATACAACACCAAGGGAAAAAAATCACACATGTAAGGCTAAAGGCCACCGTTTACAATCAATTAATTTCTGGCTTAGAGTGCAGTACAATTGCGGCTTATTATCTGGGTGGAAAATATGCAGCAATTAAACATTTGCAATCAAGAAGACAGTATACATTGTGAAAGGACAATAAATTCACATATGTGCTGTCTATGCATATATGCTAAAGAATGTTGGCCAGATAGTTTTCCACAGGCACAAGATGGATTTGCTCATGGTAAGGGTTATATGTTGTCTGCATTATCTGCTGACAAAAAAACGTGAGTTTGCAAGTTCTTGAACTCTATAATTTGTTTCCATTCCTTCTACAAAGATGGCAGATTTTGGCTGCTTCATGCACATAACATATAAACATAGAAAAGTATAAAATATCTCATAAGCCATCTCAATTGGAATTGTGACAATTCTAAAGGCAGAGCTCTTACATATAAAGTAATTCTGCACTTACAGGTGTGCCTATGATTGGCTCTACACCGTAGAATTAATGCTGTCTGACACAATTTTGACTGCTATGTCTCAATGCTTTGCAATCTAGGGGGTGTAGATTGGTGAACACCAGCACTCCTTGGCAGTGAAGACAAAAGACCCAGACAAGACAGATGTGCTCCTGGTCAGTCGTAAGGCCAAACAGGGCATAGGGTTACAACCTGTATTGGATGGGGTTACACTCCCCCTGAAGATGCAGGTTCACAGCATGGGTGTGATCCTGGACTCATCACTGAGCTTGGAACCCCAAGTTTCGGCGGTGACCAGGGGAGCATTCGCACAGCTAAAACTTGTGCGCCAGCTGCGCCGTACCTTGGGAAGCCTGATTTGGCCATGGTAGTCCATACTCTGGTTACATCCCTTATAGGCTACCGTAATGCGCTCTATGTGGAGTTGCCTTTGAAGACTGTCTGGAAGCTTCAAATGGTCCAACGGATGGCAGCCAGATGGCTAACAGGAGCTGCAGTCAGGGAGCATACAACTCCTCTGCTGCGCCAGCTCCACTGGCTGGTAGTCTGCTACCGGGCACAATTTGAAGTGCTGGCTTTAGCCTATAAAGCCCTTAACGTTTCTGGCCCAATTTACCTGTCCGAACGCATCTCCCCTTATGAACCATCTAGGACTTTAAGATCATCCGGGGAGGCCCTGCTGTCGATCCTGCCTTCATCACAAGTTCGTTTGGCGGGGACGAGAGACAGGGCCTTCTCTGTGGTGGCCCCTCGGCTATGGAATGCCCTCCCTAAGGAGGTTAAATCACCTCCTTCACTCTCAATATTTCGAAGACAAGTTAAGACATGGTTATATGAGCAAGCATTTACAAATGCAGAATAACTGACATAGGAAATGGAATCACTCTCAATATTTCGAAGACAAGTTAAGACATGGTTATATGAGCAAGCATTTACAAATGCAGAATAACTGACATAGGAAATGGAATCACTTGACACTAATGTTGTTGGGTTTTATTGTTCCTATTGTGGTTTTATATTGTTTTAATGCTTAATCTGTATTTTGCTATTCTGTGTACTAACTTGTTGTAAACTGCCTTGAGTCGTCGATAGGCTGAGAAAGGCAGTATACAAGTATAATAAATAAATGAATGAATAAATAATAATAATAATAATAATAATAATAATAATAATAATAATAATACACTTTATTTGTACCCCGCTACCATCTCCCCAAGGGACTCGGTGCGGCTTACAGGAGGCCGAGATCAATACAACAATACAAGCAATAATAACAACAATACAAGCAATTAAAAATAAAAACGTAGACAATAAAATATGCAACAATTAACAATAAGACAACACACAATTAAAACTGTGGGAAGGCCAAATGTAAAATTAAAATTGGAAGTAATGCCGGGGCATGGGCGAAAAGGTGAAAGTGGCATTTGTGGAAAACATACAAGCAGACCTAAAATGTAAAGTGCTTTAGAGGACAAAGTGCTATGGGATCATTATTCTGGGAAGGCACACTGGAACAGCCACGTCTTCAAGCTCCTCCTAAAGACTGCCAGAGTTGGGGCCTGTCTGATGTCCTTAGGGAGTGCGTTCCAGAGTCGAGGGGCCACCACCGAAAAGGCCCTCTCCCTCGTCCCCACCAATCACACCTGCGATGCTGGTGGGATCGAGAGCAGGGCCTCTCCAGATGAACGAAGAGATCGTGTGGGTTCGTATACAGAGATGCGGTCACGCAGGTAGGCAGGTCCCAAACCGTTCAGGGCTTTGTAGGTAAGAACCTGCACCTTGAATTGGGTCCGGAAAATGAATGGCAGCCAGTGGAGCTCCTTGAACAGGAGGGTTGACCGCTCCCTGTTAGGAGCCCCAGTTAACAACCTGGCTGCTGCCCATTGGACCATTTGGAATTTCTGAGCTGTTTTCAAGGGCAGCCCCACGTAGAGTGCATTGCAGTAATCCAGTCTAGAGGTAAATAAATGTAAAATTGTTACTCCCAGGATTTTGATCGCATTGAGCTGCAGTGATTCTACAGTGTAGTTGCACCCTCAGGACAGTTCTACACAGACACTATAATCTGGTTTGGTGTTGAATTAAAACAAACTAGTACCTACACAAATACCTCAAGAACCTATTCAAGGCTGGGATGGTGGCAACAATATCCACTGATTGCGAACCGAAGCCAGGAACTTTGGCATCCATGGCTAGACAATGTTAACTCTACATTTGGCCTTCCCACTGTTTTTAATTATGTGTTGTTTTATTGATAATGTTGTGTATTTTATTGTCTATGTTTTTAATTGCTTGTATTGTTGTTGTTATTGCTTGTATTGTTGTGTTTGGGCTCGGCCTCATGTAAGCCGCACCGAGTCCCTTGGGGAGATGGTAGCGGGGTACAAATAAAGTGTTGTTATTATTGTTATTATTATTATTATTATTATTATTATTATTATTATTATTATTACAGACAGCTTTAAATTATAGAGGTTTTTATTAACATCTGTTGTGAGGTTTTGCACACATCCACATCTGTTTGGGATCACCCAGTTTTGAGCCCTGCATGGGATATGTTTTGATAAGCTGAAGTAAATTATCTGCCTTGTTCCAGACTTTTTGGTAAGTTTTTTTCCCCCAATATGCTGTATGTTTTGTAGAAGCCTGTTCCTCAGTTAACAAATTCTCCACAACCATCCTGCAGTCCCAAGTTTGGTCAGCCCATGTAGGTGGGATGGCTCTCCATTCCTGACCAATGCACCTCTGGTTTTCCCTAGAAGAAGAAAGAAAATCCACTTTCCATCTGGTTCAGCGCCATATGACTGCCAAAGGAATCTATGGGGAACAGCAGGCTTTGCTCTTCTCAGGTTCCTTTGCCAGTCACATGGCACAGGACTAGGAGTAAGTGTCTGCACACCATGTGGTAAATAGATTTTCTTTCTTCTCTTGGGGAAAATCAGGGTTGCAGGGAGGATGGAAACTGAGCCCATGCCCAATGGTGCCAAACTGACTTTAGCATGGCACACCTGGGCTGTCAGATTGGTTTCCTACCACCAATGTATTTTAGGACTCCCCTGTGAGACTATAATGCAGTTTGGAACTTGCATTTTTTTATGCCGGTTCCAAGCCGTATTCTGTGTCTATGCAGAACCACTCTCAGTCATGTGTGTAACCTGTATATACATTGAAAAGCAAAGTATGATTATCATTTACTGGAGAAATTATATTATTTATAGATTGAGATCAATACCTATCTGAAATTTAAAATCATCTTCATGATTACTTTTAAGGTGAATGCCTCATATAGTCTATTAATTAGTTGTTTTTTTCTTCTGCAGATTCATTGGCCAAGTACATCCCTACAAGTAGAGGAATGCACTATCAAGGGAAGATATGCTGTATGTATCAATGGTGGAACATATTTGCTCTTCTTTTTCAGGAGGACTGTCAGTATAGTTCAAACTGGGAAAGATCTGAAATATTCTCTCTTTCCCAGCCTTTTTCTCAGGTGATCTGGGGAAAGTCTGAAGTGTTTCAAGTTACTGCAATCCTGGAAAATTCAGGAGTGAAGGAAAATTTCATTGGGAGAGAATTCCTATTTCAGAGAACTACACCCTCATTTTAGCCCACTATAGATACTTCCTTTCACTATTCTCATTTCCTGCCCACCATTTCTACTCTCTCATCTTCACTGAGGTCACTCCTACACTGGGCAGGTTACTCCAGTAGTGAATCTAATACCAGTATCCATATGGGCTGGGACTTCATCAGCCCTGTTTTACTGTCACCTCATCCTTAGAATCTTCACTTTCTGTCACAGATCTCTGTAGTCATGTCTGCTTATGGGAACAGATGTGATCAGCAAGGAAGAGAGGGTCAAATGGAAATGGTGTGAAATAAATCTGATCCAGCTGGCCAGCCTGCCACGCAGTTCAGGATACTTCCATATAATTATGAAGTATACTCTGATTTTCCTAAAGTTCGGCAAAGTTGGATCAAACTCAGAATACCTTATCTATTCATTAGAAGTTCTTTTGTGTCATGAAAACAGATATTACTGGATTTGGGAATCAGTCCAGGGTTTGTTTTTGTTTTTACTCTGAGACAGTAAACCCACTGAGTATTCCAAGGGATGTGGACTTATCTAAGCCTCTACTTCAGGGGTCCTCAAACTTTTTAAACAGAGGGCCGGGTCACAGTTCCTCAAACTGTTGGAGGGTCGGATTATAATTTGAAAAAAAAACATTTTTAATAATTCTGAAATTTTCAATTTACGAAATTTCATATAATTATGAATTGATTCGTTAATGGCGGACGCGATTGCGCAATATGCTAAAAAAACCTCCAAATGGGACAGGGGGAACTTCTGAAGCTTCCCTCTCCCTCTGTTGTTGACTGTTGGTGTGATAAAACAAGCAACAACTATAAAACTTGCACCAGACATGCGAAAATAATTACGAAATAATTACGAAATAAATTGAAAAAAATGTTTCGAATCTAATTTACTCCTCACACTATTCCTGCATGGCTCAATATTGGATCGTAAGCTAATTTAAATACGAATTAATAACGAATTACGAAATTAACGAAAGAAACCACCCAAGCCTAATAGATATATATAATCCAAAATAATTTTCTTCTGCCATTATTTTTATTTCCTCCTTGTTGTGAAAATGCAACTGTGTAAGTTGTCCTCCTTTTCAAAACCTCAATGTGTAGTTCACTGAATGATCAAAGAAAATATGTTTAAAGTTTGGAGTTGATAATGTCACTGGGATCAAAAGTAGGATTGTTATTATCAAAATACTGTTTAATGACATTTATTCCCTATCACAACAGGAGGAGTGTGCCAATTACATCCGTGCTCTGCATCGATACAACCGAACACACCTGCTGGCTTGTGGGACAGGAGCTTTCGATCCCATCTGTGCTTTTATAAGGGTTGGCCATCAATCAGAGGTAAGAAATATTCCCTAAAATACCTATGAAATCTTAGGCAGGCAAATGTCCTAACATTAGTGTGCAAAATATTTTTCTGGTCTTCATTGTGGACTGAGAGGTTAATTAGTCATGTGATATTTAGCAATTGAGGATGTAATCGCTAAGTCAAAAAGATAACAAGTAGATGTTTAGTAGGATCAGCAATTCCTTGTTGGGCTAAATAACAAAGAATCTAACAATGGTCAATAGTGTGCTGGCCCGCTCAAAGCCTGCCCAGGTTACATGATATGTTTAGTTAGATCCCCAGTCCTCCAATTTATTTTACAGATATTTACTACAATGTCCAGAAGTCTAATAAATCTTTGTTGACTTAGCAGCAGCATTTGACTCAATTGATAGAAACCTGTGGTGACATAAACTGACCAATGGGAATACATATATAATAGTGATCTAAGAGCATTTTCAAGACATAAAAAATGGAAGTATTTGTCATTTAGGGCTGTTACATTCACCTTGCCAAATCTCACCTAGGACAAACATTAGCACAAAGACCACAAGAAAGAGTAAAGGATAAAAGCATTCATGTGCTTACAATCGTCTCATGGAAAAAGAAACATGCACCTGATTTTCATCCAGCAAACTTCAAGAGGCAGAATCCTGGAAGCAAAATTTGATGAAAAATGGTTGGAAGAACTTCACCCATTTAACTTGGTAACAGAAGACTAAAGGGGGATACAACATCTGAAAGTCTGCCAAGCACAGTATGGAGCAGAATTTGGTTCGTGTTCCAGAAGGACAGACTAGAACCAGTGGGTGGAGATTTGGCTAGACATCACAACTCTCCCTTCCTAACAATACAAACTGTTCAAGAGTGGAACAGATTGTCTCAGGATCTTGTGGGTATCTGTTTATTGGAGAGAATTGAGCAGAGGATAGACATCAATTCAAGATACTTTAGTTTGGGCATGGACAAGTATGAACATCCAAGAGTTGCTTCAATTTTCATAGACCCTATCCAGAATTATTATAAACATCTAGAGCAGTATTTCTCAATCTGGGGATCAGGACCCCTTGGGGGTCGTGAGAGAGTTTCAGAGAACACACATTTTTGATGGACTTAGGAACTCCTATGGCAGAGAAAGCTGAAGATCTCTCCGCCTGTCCTTCTTTTCCTTTTTGGAAACAGACAGCGAATCCACCCACCAAAAATCCTCCTCCTGCTGTGATTGGCTGGCCACTCAGCCGGCCTCTCAGCCAATGGGGGGGGGCTGTTTATGAGACTCCAAGTGGGGAAGGGAGAGCAGGTGTACTCAACACATGGCAGCAAGGTGCGCATGCACAAGTGAGGGAGAGCACGCCAGGTTGGAGGGAGGCTCATGTCAGTGAGTCCCTACAAGGCGGGGGGGGGGGGGGAGCGCCCATGTGATATGAGACTGAGAGTGGCCCAGCATCATCAGGAGAAGCAGAAGCAGCTATTTATTAGACAAAAACAGTCTTTCTTTTGTTTATTTATTAATGATCTCATTAGAAAATGCATAAGGATGTGGTTGAACTACAACTCCCAGAATTACGGGTCAATCCTCCCCAAATCCCACCAGTATCCACAATTGGCCATGTTGGGTCTGTGTGCCAAGTTTGATCTGCATCAGCCGTCCGCTGGGTTCAGTGCTCTTTGGATGTGGGTGAACTACAACTCCCATATGCTAAGGTCATTCACTCCCACCCCTGCCTGTATTCACAGTTGGCCACATTGGGTCTGTGTGCCCAGTTTGGTTCAGATTCATCATTGGTGGGGGTCACAGGGTTCCCTGAATGCAGGGAGAACCACAATTACCATCATGTTGGGTCAGCCCTCCTCCCCCCCCCCAAACTCCACCAGTATTCAAAGTTGGTCATTTTGGGTATTTGTGCCAAGTTTGGTCCAGCTCCGTCTTTTGGGTGCACATTGCTCTGTTGATGTGAGTGAACTATAACTCCCAACTTCTGAGTTTAGTCCCCTCGAAACCTCACCAGTATTCAAACTTTGCAGTGTTGGGTATGTGTGGCAAGTTTACTATTTCCATCAGCAGTTTGGTATAGAGTACTCTCTGAATGTTGGTGAACTACAACTCCCAGAATTCGAAAACAGCCCTCCCCAACCGCACCAGTATTCAATGTTGGCCATGTAGGTAGTGTGCCAAGTTTGGTGCAGATCCGTTGTGGTCTGGGTTCAGAGTGCAACTACAACTCCCAAATGACAAAAATCAACCACCCTCCCCAACCATACCAATATTCAAATTTCAGCATATCAGGTATTTATGCCAATTTTGGTCCAGATCCATCGTTGTTTGGGTTGATAATGAACTACGTCTTCCCTAAATCACTGTCAATTCCTCCCAAATCCCTAGAATCATAGAATCATAGACTTGGAAGAGACCTCATGGGCCATCCAGTCCAACCCCCTGCCGAGAAGCAGGAAAATTGCATTCAAAGCACCCCCGACAGATGGCCATCCAGCCTCTGTTTAAAAGCTTCCAAAGATGGAGCCTCCACCACACTCTGGGGCAGAGAGTTCCACTGCTGAATGGCTTTCACAGTCAGGAAGTTCTTCCTAATGTTCAGATGGAATCTTCTTTCTTGTACTTTGAAGCCATTGTTCCTCATCCTAGTCTCCAGTATTTTATGTTGGTCATGGGGGTTCAGCCCTCTGCATTTGTTGGGGCTAGGGACACAGCATGTCATGAAAGTGAAAAATTGCAAATAAAAAAAGCTAGTTTCTTTTTTACTTCAGTCTTATGTAATTATTTATCTTGCTTATTTCATGTTTTCCAAGTAATACATTAGAAGCAGCACTAGCATCCTGTACAGAAAGCAGAGTTAGTTTTAATTTACGATCTATTTATTTCATGAACATTAAGGCACAGCAGATGAAGTTAGAGACTTATGGATAAACAGCAGTTAATATCTGATCAGCCACGGGAAGAAAGTGTAGACAATGTATGTAGTTGCAAAGGATATATTTTCAATTTGTAGATGTTTCCAAAAACACTGGAATGTTTGCCAGAAAAGATTGCATTTTTTTGTAAACATCCAATCAAAGTGTGCATATATGTGTAAGTGTGTATAGATAGATGCAGATGCACACACATACACGTAAGCCATAATTCTCAACTAGGTTCTTGTGGGTTTTTTCAGGCTATATGGCCGTTTTCTAGAGGCATTTTCTCCTGATGTTTCGCCTGCATCTATGGCAAGCATCCTCAGAGGTAGTGAGGTCTGTTGGAATTAGGAAAATGGGTTTATATATCTGTGGAATGACTGGGGTGGGGCAAAGAGCTCTTCTCTGCTGGAGCTGGGTGTCAATGTTTCAACTGACCACCTTCATTAGCATTTGAAGGCCTGGCTGAGCCTGGGGGAATATTTTGTTGAGAGGTGTTAAGATGTGCCTGGTTGTTTCCTCTCTACTGTTTTGCTGTTGTAATTTTAGAGTTTTTTTTAATACTGGTAGCCAGATTTTGTTCATTTTCATGGTCTCCTCCTTTCTGTTGAAATTGTCACATGCTTGTGGATTTCAATGGCTTCTCTGTATAGTCTGACATGGCGGTTGTGAGAGTGGTCCAGCATTTCTGTGTTCGCAAATAATATGCTGTATCCAGGTTGGTTCATCAGGTGCTCTGCTATGGCTGACTTCTCTGGTTGAAGTAGTCTGCAGTGCCTTTCATGTTCCTTGATTCGTGTTTGGGCAATGCTGCGTTTGGTGGTCCCTATGTAGACTTGTCCACAGCTGCATGGTATACGGTAGACTCCTGCAGAAGTGAGGGGATCCCTCTTGTCCTTTGCTGAACGTAGCATTTGTTGGATTTTCTTGGTGGGTCTGTAGATTGTTTGTATATTGTGTTTCCTCATGAGCTTCCCTATCCGGTCAGTGGTTCCCTTGATGTATGGCAAGAACACTTTTCCTCTGGGTGGATCTTCATCTTTACTCTCGTGGCTTGTTCTTGGTCTTGCAGCTCTTCTGATGTCTGAGGTGGAGTATCCATTGGCCTGTAGAGCCCAGATCAACAATTGGGTCACACCGTCTACAGAAAACCCACACACACAGATAGATATCTACATAAAAACTCCAACCATCACCCAAGTCAGAAGAGAAGCATCATTAAAGCCTTGGCAGACCATGCAAAAAGAATCTGCGAATCTCACCTCCTCCAAGATGAACTGAATGACCTACACAGGGCTCTACAAGCCAAAGGAAGCACTACAATAGATTTAACAGGATGTGCCATTTCTTATGGTATGAATTTTTAGGATGCTGGCAGTCTCCTCCTGATCATGCTGTGATATTTATATTGCTGTAAAAATACCGTATACACATAATCTATACTTTTCATCACATATTGCCTTTGTTTTGAAAGGGTGGTTTCATCTGGAGACATAACTGTAGGAAAAAAATTCATGTTGATGAATGCTCAGTTAGCTTGACCAAATTTTCTCTCTAGAAGAGTTTCAAAAATATTTTAAACTCTTACTTCACAAATTTAGTTTAAGGCTACAAACAGCTATTAGTGAAATCATCTTTGTAACTTGTCATAAATAATAAAAGCTTTTTGTAGATAAAATGCAGACAGCAGGTTTTTTTCAAAGAGGATCAAATTAAGCAACATTTCAACAAGGTAATATTTTTCTGAATGCTTGAAAGATGAGGCATTGTGGCAAGTGGACAATCCATAACTGTGATACCACAGAAATGCATGGATAGCCCACTGCAACAGGAATTTTCAAAATGTCCCATCAAGATTTCTTCTTGGGCAACACTCACTAAGAAAAAGGGACATGTGGGTTATTATTAAGAACTTTTTTGTCTTAAATGAACTGTTTCCATTTTCCACAACATCTCTGTAATATTTCATGACTTTTGTCTGTCCATTTGGTGGGTAGGCACTAGGCATAACAACCAGTGGCAAAGTTCTCTATGGTTTACACAATTTTCAGTGTTGGCTTCCACCCTGAGAAACATGATATTATGGGAAAGGATGAAGAAA